AGAAAAGAAACAGCTTTATTTGAAGATCAGGATTTTTTTTATGCCCTAACTTTAGGTGATCATTTTCCTGTGTTGTAAGGACGTTTTACAAACACAAATTTCACGCGGACAAACACCCAGATGCGAGACAACTGTCTATGGGTCACGCAAATAGTCGTCCCGTGTGGGAATCGAATCCACGACCCCCGACGCCAAAGCCAATACGCCTCATAACGTGTGTGCACGAGTGGAGAGAATGTATGGCATGCGTTGATGCAACAACTAGTCAGTTCACGCGCATGATGTTTAATAATATAAATGATTCATGTCCATACTGTGTGGCGTAGAAAAATTCTTACGCTTTATATTATACGACATCCTTACTAATATTATAAACGCGAAAGTTTGTATGTATGGATGGATATTTGTTACTCTTTCACTACTGAATGGATCTTAATGAAACTTTACAATAATATAGCTTATACATCAGAATAAGACATAGGCTATAAGTTATATACATATTTTATGTATACAGGTTGGCTTTTCTAAGTGTATCCATTTTTTTAAATTAAATTCTAGACATAAATAGTTATATGAAAAATGATAAATATTTAAAATCACTCGTAAGTAATTAATTACATTCATTTGAACTTATCTCAAAAAGTGCGAGATTTATACGCAACTCATTTATTTTACGCGCGATCATTCATAACTAACACGCACACAAGTTCGTGCACAGTAAAATTTAGTTATTTATGAATGGCTACCGCATTGTCAACACGTTCTGCCTGAATGTTACGCCTTCAGCCTAATCTACGCAGACGTAGTCGTGGGCAGCAGCTAGTATTATTTAAGTAAAACAAACAAAGGGTAAAGCGGGACGCTATTACTAAGACTGCGTTGTCAGTCTGTATCTCATGAACCGCGATAGTTAGACAGTTGACATGACAGATGATGTATTTCTGTTGCTATGACAACAAATACTAAAGAACATAATTAAAAAAATATTTACGTGGGGCTCCCATACGACGGACATGATTTTTGTCGTTTTTAAAGATTGGTATGGAATCCCTCGGCGCGAGTCCTACTCGCGTTTTGAGTAAAGACGTAGCTAAGATTATGTCAATCAATTACTAGTGACACTTGTGTTTGAAATTAATTGGTTTAAACACAACTGACGCATCGATGACCTGTGGGAATTCGACATGTTTGATACTTGATGGAATTCTTTTGTTTCCCTTAAAGAAAGGATTGTAATGTTACTATTTGAAACAAGGAGGTTTGTATTAGAAAAAAAATATTAATGACAATCCATTGCGTTAAAACAATTGGCTAATGGAAACAAACGTAGCATATGTACATTTTTGCCAGATAATGTTGAATGAGAATAGAATATAACGTGATCTTTACAGATAAATAACATTGGAGTGTCCTTTTGTAATTGTAAAATAACCGCTTTTTACTAAATGCATATGGACGTATACATGGTACGTAATTACATATACCAAAATAACATTTTTTACAATTTTTATCTGTCTGTTTGTCTGTTTGCTCCGGCTAATCTCTGAAACAGCTTGACCGATTTTGACGGGACTTTCACTGGCAGATAGCTGATGTAATATGGAGTAACTTTGCCCACTTTTATTTTAGAAATTTTATATATTATTAATAAATTGTACGCGGGCGAAGTCGCGGGCACAGCTAGTTTTTAATAAATGATTTAATTGTATAACTTTCGCGTTCGTCTGGTGAGTGGCGTAGCCGGAGCCCAATTTCCAAAAGAAAAAAAACTGTAACTCAACAATGACTCAATAATTGGATAACAATTGTACTTAGCTTTTCCAGCAGAGCACAGCCTTAACTTCTAATAACCAAAAAAACTAACCCGCGTACGTTGTGCGAGTTGAATTTATCCCCCTCAAAAACAAATACCAACCAGCCCCCTAGGGTGTAGGAAATATCATGACGCAATAGGTATCAAACCAACAACTTTTAAATGAATCACAACAAACTCTACTAATATATTATTGATAAAACTATTAATTAGATTAAATATGTACCATAATTATAAAACATTATGGACTACCTTAGGAATTCTCGCCTTACCGTCTCAATACAATAGCCTATTCACGAGCACTAAAACTTTTCGCTGAACGCATAATTACTAAACCGCTTATCAATAGGGTGACCACTCTTAACGGGATAAACAAACAAGGTATGAATTGATATTTTTCTCGTTATTTCTTGTCAAAAAAAATTTTAATATTTTTTTTTAATTATGGAATGCTTAATTTAACATTATGTCAAAGTATGTACTTCGTCTAAAAAATCAACCTGTATAGCTGAACGTGACGGATGATATAGAACATATGATACATAGTATATAAAACAAAGTCCGCTGTCTGTCTGTCCCTATGTATGCTTAGATCTTTAAAACTACGCAACAGATCTTGATGCGGTGTTTTTTACTAAATAGAGTGATTCAAGAAGAAGGTTTATATGTATTATACATTGCACTCATGCGAAGGCGGGGCGGGTTGCTAGTATCTTCTATAGATATGCTATCTCTTGCGATCTAATTACACCAATTGGCGTGATTTGACCGCCTAAGTTTCGCTAGTGTCGTATCTACCTCCTATTTGTGTTCAATATCATTGCCATACACTGGAAAAACAAATATACGGCATAAAGATAAGAAAATGGAAACAGTTAAAAAAATGCATAATTATTTCAAAGTATAAGTTTAACTTATTTACGCCCGGCTTCTGAAACGCTGATCATCGTAGATGTCAACTAATCGGCTGTCAAATGGCTTTTAAATTTCATTTCAGTTGTCAAAAGGATGGTTAAACTCTCTGAATTGACCAAAATGATCAGAGTGATCAGAGAGATCAATTCAAAGAGTTTAACCATCCTTTTGGCGACTCAAATGACATTTGAAAAGCCATTCGACAGCTGATTAGTTGACATCTACGATGATCAGTGTTTCAGAAGCCGGGCGTTAATGTTGAAACTATTTGGTTCTTAAAAAAAATTGAGTTCACATAATTTTGAAAAAAAAAAACCGATTTCAAACAGGAAACTAAAAACATTGTCAAAACCTATAACATTTGAGGATTGCCCACAACTTCCCCGGGATGCCATCCCCGGTTTTCCATCCGGGTTTCCTTGTCATGGTACCACTCTTGGGATATCTCCTTTCCAACAAAAAAAAATGAGCCGTCACGGGACGCCCGGCAGATGTGAAACATCGACATTATTTTGTAAAAGTAATATGCAGAAAAGAACAGATTGTGATAGGAACTAAATATGTCATAATGATAAAATAAAATATTACAATTTTTTTCCAGATAACGATGACTATTTATTGAATAAACATTTATTTTCATTAAATACAAAATTTACGAATTTATTTCAAATCGTGACTACTTAATTCGTTTAATCAGTGACTTCGGTAATAGTACACACAATTAATTAAAGTTCATTTCATTAATTAATAATTAATAAATAACTATTAACAATTAATTTAAATTTGAGTAATTAATCGTACACATTACTGCATATAGACAACCTCCGTCTTTTTTGAAGTCGGTTAATAAACATGTGCAAACAGACCGCGCCGAGCTTTCCTCGCGCTCCGATAACACGTAATGACGTGTCGAGTTTCATTTACATCAAAATAGCAACTAATTTGCACGAACGGTGTAATGTTAATTGTGTAACACAATATCCTTTGGATAAGCACAATGCACGTTAACCCAGTCTAATAACGTACAAAGAACACTGGCAGTTATTAGAATTGGCCAGTTGGCAACGTTGCCAGATTTTTTAGGGTTCCGCACTCCGCCGTCTGTCCGTCTGTCTGTCCTGTCACCAGGCTGTATCTCATGAACCGTGATAGTTATTTAGACAGTTGAAAATTTCACGGATGATGTATTTTTGTAGCCGCTTTAACAGCAAATATTAAAAACACAGAATAAAAAAATATTTATGTGGGGCTCCTATACGAAAGACATGGTCTTTTGTCGTTTTTATCGATGATGGTGCGGAACCCTTCGTGCTCGAGTCCGACTCGCACTTGGTCGGCTTTTAATGTGAGGAGGGGGCAAACGAGCCGGCGATTCACCCGATGTTAAGTGATAACCGCCGCCCGTGGACATTTGCAGCACCAATAGGGTTGCAGAAGCGTTGTCAACTTTCTATAAAGTGGGCCCCGGCTACCGCAACCGCCAAGCGAAACGCGGTCGTGGTTCTTAATCGGACGGACCTGACCATTCGTGCAAGCGAAGACTGCAGCAAGCCTCCCAGCCCCCAGCGGCGGATCTGGTCTGTGGCTCCACCGCTCACCAGGTTTCGGCCGCGGAGGATAGGGAGAACGGCGCATCGTAATACCGACACTCCTCTCCACCCGCGGCCCCACCACAGCTGCATCAGCGGTGCAGCCTCGCCGAGTCGCGGAGGATAGGGAGCACGGCCAACCCAATACCGACACTTCTCTTCCCCCGCGACTCCTCCTCGGTAGCAGAAGACGGGGAGAGTGGCTCCACCTCTACCACCCTCGACCCGTCCCCTGCGCCCTCCAGCACGCATCCAGAGTGGGCTCAATGAGCCTACTCGGAGCGGCCCTCTCGGGCCGGCCTTACACCACAGGCACAGGCCGGCCCAGTGTGGGTTCCTTTTAGCTTCTCCGTGGGTGGTCCCCCACGGCTATGGAGCCCCTCCGCCACATCAAGGCGGGAACCCGGTCGGAGGGAGTCCTGGCTACCTACCGGATTTCACAGAAGACCCGCGTGAAGTGGAATTATTTAACTCTCGCGTTCCGTCTGATACGCTTTAATCGGGCAAGTTTTTTTGGGGCCGTTGTGTAAAGGTTTCTGACCGCAATATTCGTTCCGTTGCAGATTCGCCCCTCACCGGGACAGTGAAGTGTGGCGCGGCGGCCATGACGTGACCGCGCCTTCAGCATGCGGCAGCGATCGCCGTCCGTCGGCTAGCATGCGCCTTGGAACCGCCTGGTGAAGATGCCGCGGCTCAAGTACGCGTCAGCGCTGCGGGCGCTGGTTGTGCTGGGTCTGCTGTGCCTCTGGGTGCAGATCATGCTGTCCGTCTCCAACGGGGCCGTGGACCGGGACGCCGGTAAGTCCGGCCCCTTCTGGTCTTGCTTTTTTCTTATGTGAATAGTTGCCAACTCCTACTTCACGTCGATCCCCTGTGAGGCCGTGGTACTTACCCGGACGGCCCTGCCCGTCCGTGCAACAGCGAAGACTGTTGCGTGGCCGCATCACGGTTAAAGACGAACGTCCGGACACTTAGCTGTCCACGGCTAGCTCGTTCTTGTGGCTCGCTTTTTTATGCGAGAAAGTGGCAAACGAGTTGGCGGTTCACCTGATGTTCAACGATAAACCGCCGCCCATGGACATTTGCCCAAAAATAAAGTGGGCCCCGGCTATCTCACTCACCAGACGAAACGCAGTAGTGTAACACTTCTACTTTACGCCAGTCGTCTTTGAGGTCGCGGTACTCACCCGGACGGACCTGCCCATTCGTGCAACAGTGAACACTGTCGCGTGGTCCTATCACAGTGAGTCGTTGCTCCAGGCGAACCTTCGCTCTATTTCCCGGGGCTGCGTCAGCTGACTGCTCGTGGTCCATCATCTCTCGGGGAGCGTCCGTGCAGTATCAGTGTGCATTGTCTTATCGAGAGGAAGTTGATACGTTGCCAATCGCTCGACGCACGCTCGCTGGCGCTGATATTGGTTTTATTAAACTAGCCGCGCCCGCGAATTCGACTGCGTGCAGTTTAGAACGAATGACATTCCGAAAATAAAAGTAGTGGTTTCAACTGTTTAGGGCCAAAGGGTTTCAGTACCCTAAAAACTGTTACCAAATAACCTGCGTCGGCGAGATCTCCGTCCATTCTCCCCACAGCAAAAAACTGTGCAGATCAAAAATATATATAAATTAATTATTTTATATATATTTATGAGGAAAAAATAAAGAAAAAAAATTAGTAGTAATAATAATAATAATAATATAAAATTAAACATATGTATATCTATATGTTTAATTTTTATCTATAAACCCAACCAGGCGAGAAAACAAATAAATATCCCCAAATAATAATAAAAAATATATAAATATGAACTCACTGTTGCACCGCTACCAGCCCGGTTGATGTACGCGGCGGTGACGGCCCAAAAAGAAAATTTACAAAAAAAAAACCTGTTAATCAAAAAAGAGTACGGACCACGAGTCTGTAGAGTTACTTTGTTAAAATAAAAAAATAAAAAAATGATGTGAGATGTGACACTGTCTGTTGCGCTAGAGGGTGTGGGTTCGACCCCCACTACTGGGAAAATATAATGCGATATACGTAGTATTTTTCTAGTGTCTGAAATGTATTTATTTACTAAAAAAATTTCGTTTAAGTATGTTTATCAGTTAAATAATATTACGGTGGTAGGGCCACGCAGCAGCCTCGGCTGTTGCACGAATGGGCAGACTCGTCCGGGTAAGTGCCACGACCTCACGGTAGACCGACGTGAAGTGGATGTGTTACACTTCTACGTTTTTTGGTGAGTGCGGTATTCGGGACACACTTTATTAAAAGTTGACAACGCATCTGCCACCCTACGGGTGTTGCAATGTCAACGTGCGGCGGTTTTCACTTAACATCAGGTGAACCGCCGGATCGTTTGCCGCCTTCTCGCAAAAAAACCAGTCTACAACCCTATTACCTCACTCGCCATACGAGCCAGCCCATTCGTGATGAATATTTGTAACGAGTCACCATTGCTCTCAAAATTTTTTAGGATTAATTTGTATTTGTAGCGTTTCTAGCCTCCGCACTCAAGATGATAATTAAATTTTTTTTTTTTTACATAAATGAACAAAAGATTTGGTCGCTGCGGGACTCAAACCTGTGTCCTTTAGTCTCGCGCCCATAAATAAAGATAGATTTGATTTTTTTAATGATGCAGGCTTGTTTCTTACATGCTTATGTTGATATACTTATATATAGTTAGGTTGTTTCTACAACAAATTTCCAGAAAACGTTCAAAATGCATCAATATCTAAATTTAAAAAAGTAGTAAAAGAACATTTAATGTTTTTATAATAGTCTTTAACACACAAATTTTGTGTGTTAAAGACTATTATAATACTAATACTAGCTGCTGCCCGCGACTACGTCTGCGTAGAATAGGCTAGAGGCGTGACATTCAGACAGAAAGGCAGATTTACATAAAACATGTATATAAATTATAGCCCATATCTTATTCTGATGTATAAGCTATATTATGGTAAAGTTTCATTAAAATCCATTCAGTAGTATTTGAGTGAAAGAGTGACAAACATTCATCCATACATACAAACTTTCGCCTTTATAATATTAGTAAGTATTAATGATTATTTAAATATATAGACAACACACTCTTGCAATGAACTGATCGCTCCAGGCTCTTTCAATAAGAGTTCTTATATTGTTTTTGTAATGAATTCATGTCAAATTGTTTATTTGAAAAAAAAACAAAGAAAGGCACGCTGAGTTTCTTTCTCCGGTTCTTCTCAGTACAGCGGCTTTCTCTTCCGAACCGGTGGTAGTGTTTTGACTATCAATAAGCGAGTGTAATACTCCTATGTTGAATAAAAATATTTGATTTTGATTTAAATGTGAACAAGACATGATAAGTAAAGTTATCTTGTCGGTGATATACACGCAATAGATGTAGCAACGGAGTCAGCGAGTGACTAACAGTAACATAGAATCTACAAGTCGTAAAGAGTTGTCTTAATTCCGAACGCTATCAACTCACGTTCATGCATGGTTAAACGAAACTATTCATGGAGTATTTACTGTGGTACACAGGCGGTTCGCCTGATGTTAAGTGAATACCGCCGCCCGTGGACATCTGCCACACCGAGGGTTGCAGATGCGTTGACAACCTTTTGAACATTGGGCTCCGGCTACCTCACTCACCAGACGAAACGCGAAAGTATTTGTCATACTTCCACTTTACGCCCGTCTTCTGTGAGGTCGTGGTACTTACCCGGACGGGCCTGCCCATTCGCTTCAGTCGAGGCTGCTGCGTGGTCCTACCACAGTTAAATAGATAATCTGTGAACGTCTCAAGACGTTGACACGCGATCTTTTGGCGGGAACCGTTATGTCACTGTGACATTTGTTGCGCGATGCTGCAACCGCGTCGGCAAACATTTTTGCGAAATCCACCTGGTGTTTAGGCCTTGTGTTTGTTAAAGATATTACCTCTGTTTACGTTATAATGTATCTTATGTCATGTAGACATGCACGTTTTTCTAGAACGCGCCACTAAAGTTTTTGATAAGGCAATCTTTTGATTGTTCCAATTTGGATGTTAAGTAACAGCCCATACCAGCACCAATGGGACACCCACTGGTGGGCAAAGGTCTCCTCTGTACAGAGCGTAAAAAGTAAAGTAAAGTAACAGCCTATAAACGTCCCACTGTTGGGCAAAGGCCTGCTCTGTACAGAGCGTGTCAGGGCGTAGTCCACCACGCGGCCCCACTGCGGATTGGCCGGAATATATTTGTTTTGTTATCGTTTTGAAAATATGAAGGTTGGTTCCCCCATGATGTTTTCCTTCACCGCCGAGCACGTGATAAATTGCAAATTTGCATGTGAAAAACTGACATTTGAATATTGTTGTTTTTTTGGTTTTTGCCACTTGAGCCGTGTTCGATTGCCTCGTCCAAACAGCCTCGAACATTCGTACGCCGTTTGGCCCACAATTTTTATTATTAGAGTGTACAAGATATGCAGGTAAGATAGCGCATGCGAGCTTATCGCGAGATATTTCTCGTGATAACAGACAATATTGTGGGCATTGGGTAGAATTGGGATGGTAAAATATGAAAATACGAATGGACAAAGGCCAAACGAAGGTTAAATTTGCCCGACAGCGCATGGAGGGTACTGTTCTTCGAGCGTATGTTGGTTTGTGTTTATGTCCAATTCAATGGCACGCCCTACGGTCTAAACCTTTTAACGGATTTCGACGTATAAAGTGTCATTGGATTATGGGTCGAGAAATAGCAAAGAAATATTTAGTATTTTTAATGCATATTTGTTCTACATTGCACCACACAATCTATAAAACATACACAATTTAACTAGAAATTAGTCAAACAGAAAATAACACGATAGAAACTAACTTAATTGTTTTGGTTAATATGGGTATGGGTACTATATGTGTTCTATTTTAGGGATTAAACGGATTTTTGTAACCAGCACTCGGTTAAAATGATAATATCGTAATCTAAACTAGTCATAAGAATTTTAAAATCGTCCAAATTTTTGTTTATGCTGCCAATGTTTTGTACAATTAATTTAAGAGATAGTTTATTATCAAGTCCATAATACAAAAGTGATTCTGGATCCTCAACCGAAAAGGAATTTCCTACGGTTATATTATTATCAACGTCGGAAATAATGTCGTCAAGACTATTACCCATTGTGTAATTAATGAAGTAAGAATTTCATATAGGATATTTGGTTGAGGATGGTAGTTACTGATGTTTATAGACGAACTAGGACATTGCAAGCAAGTGTTTGTTTATTATGAGCGGGTGGGATATATAGAGTATAATAATGTTAAGTAAAGTAAAGTAACAGCATATACATGTCCCACTGGACAAAGGCCTCCTCTATACAGAGGGTATCAGGGCATAATCCACCACGCGGCCCCACTGCGGATTGGCGGACTTCACATATTTTCGAAATATATTTTTTTTTGTTATTATTTCGAAAATATGCAGGTTTCCTCACGATGTTTTCCTTCACCGCGGAGCACGTGATAAGTCAGCACTTAAAGTTAAAAACTTCATTGGTGCCGGCACCGGGGATCGAACTCAGGTTGCTCGAGTATATTGAATTAAAGGCGAGCGCCCGGACACTGAGCTATCACGGCTCCTAATAATGTTATAATAAAATGATATATATATATAAATTATACATACGATACATATAATATATAGATACAAGATAATTTTTGGGAAAATTATATAGAGAAATTATTATCAAGTTATTAAGACCCTGAATAACAATTATTATAAAAGAATAACAATTATTATTGTATTATGATATTCAGTACTATAAACTGAACTAAAACTAATGAAATAGGTGTGAATATAGTAGTAAAGTACAAAAACAGATAGTAAAAAGAAAATTAAAATGTACTGTAGATTCTTGACGTATATGCCTGCAAATAGTCATTGCATACCTAGGTCTTTAATTTGTTTTAAACTTCTGATGACTATGGCAGACTGGCCCTCCTCTTTACGTAATAAAATAGTTCCTCGTGACACCCAGCAGTATTTATATTTTCCATTCTTCACAAGTTCTCGAGCAGCTGCCAGCATCTTCTTTGACATCTGTGTTAGTTCTTCAGATATATAAACTCTTGAAGGTATTCCACTAACCCCTAACATTTCTGATTTTATAGGGTTTCCCCTATTTTCTATATTATACTTTTTAGCAGCCTTTAAGAGTTCTTCTCTTTTTTTGGTGTTCTGGTACTCCACAGCAATGGGTCCGTTTTGTTTACCTCTCCTATATATTTTTATTATTTCGTCCGAACGCTGTATATTTAATGTATCATAAATATTATTGATATTTTTACTCACGTCTTCTTTTTCTTCCCTTGGAATATTCCTTATTTCAATAATATTCTTGACGCACTGTGTTTGCAGTTCATTTAACTGAGATTCCAATTCATTAATCCGTGTTATATCGACTTCATATTTAGCATCAAGAGTTTGTACTCTGGTCATAATTTCCTTGTAATTCCTAGCATTTTGCTCCGGGAATGTTATTATCTGCGAGTTAGATTTATGTTGTTCCTTATGTTGAAGTTCCGAATAATTTCCTGGTCAACGATCAACTGACAGATCAGGTTGCGAAGAGAAACAAGCTGCTTGTCTGGATGTTGTAGTACGCTGCATTTGATCTGACAATTTTGCTTGTACTACAATGTGCTTAATCGCTTCGTGTTAAAAATAGTGATATTTTTAAAGAGATTTTAAACCTTATCCCTTCAATAATAAAGTCAATTATTGATTTTTCGGTATTCCAGATCAAAGTGAAACACGTCTGACTTCAACTAATATAGGATGAATGGTTGTTTTATTCCATGGAATATCGTATTCTCGTTAAGGAATTAGTCAGGTGGCTCAGCTTCGTGGGGGTCTGTGGTCCCCCATGGCCTATGTTCAGCAGTGGACTCAAATTAACTGAAATGGTGATGATGATGAAAGAACTCATTCCCCTTGTCCAATTTTCAGTGTCCTACGTTTGTGTTGTTCTGAGCTCGCTGTGGTTTCATTGGAACCATGAAATTTTATGTGAAAAGTTGGTATAACAGCAGGCGGTTCACCTGATGTTAAGATAGATAGAAGATATATATGATTGCAGCCATGGACATTACAATATCACAAAAACCAAGCCCAGCTTATCTCACGAACTAAACGAAGCCTTTTTGATATGAAATCTTTTGATAACGACCCCAAAAAAAACTTGTTCGGTTAAAGCATACCATACGTTTCACACTTCCACTTCGCTTAGGTCTTCTGTGGGGTCGTGGTACTTACCCGGACGGACCTGCCCATTCGTGCAACAGCCGAAGACTGTAGCGTGGCCCCATCTTTAAAACCGAACCATAAATTTTGATAAAGTATCGACGGCGATACGGTACCGACATGAAACGCTTTTAATATTAAAACACAAGATAATTATTTTATACCTCTGACTCATGTTGTGGAATGAGATAAATTTCCTTCCTCGTTTGTGTGTTGAATGTTACTAGTTTTATTGTAAAAATATGGCATGTTACCTGGCCGCTTCCCGATGTTAAGTGATAACCACTGCCTATGAACATTTATTTATTTATTTAAACTTTTACACAAAAAGTTAGCATTGTGTATAGGCGGACTTAATGCCTAAGGCATTCTCTACCAGTCAACCTATGGGCGACGCAGAGACAAAAGAGGCAGGTGTAAAAAATCTCAAATCAAGTTTTAAGTGAAAATAAAATTTATATACATATTCATATATAATTAAATAAAAAAACATTTGCAACGCCCTTCGGGTTGCAGATGCCAGCTCTTTAGAGTTCCATACCCAATGGGTAAAACGGTATTACTAAGACTCCGCTGTCCGTCTGCCAGTCCGTCATAGTAATGACAGTTGAAATTTTCACAGACGATGTATTCCTGTTGCCGCTATAACGACAAATATCAAAAATGAGAATAAAAAACATTTGAACGGGGCTGATATTTTGCCGTTCTAGTTAGTCCGACTCGCACTTGGCCGGTTTTAGTTTTAATAACTATTATGTTGCGCCTACAAACATTTGCTACAGGTGGGGTTGCAGATGCGTTGCCGCCTTTTAATAACTATTAAGTCGTCGAGCTATCGGCTTCGGCGGAGGGTCGTGGGCTCGATTCCCACACGGGACAACTATTTGTGTGACCCACAGATAGTTGTTTCGAATCTGGGTGTTTGTTTCCCAAGGAAGGTTGACGTGAGGCAGGTGGTCGATCGTGAAAAAACACAGCCTACACCGCTTACAGCATGATTCAAATTTTTTTTATGTGAAAAGATGCCAAACGAGCTGGCGGTTCACCTGATGTTAAGTGAAAACCGCCGCCCATGGACATCAGCTATACCCGAGGGTTGCAGACGCGTTGACAACCCTTTGAAAATTGGACACCGGCTACCTCACCCACCAGACGAAACGCGGAAGTATTATACTTCAACTTTACCCTGGTCTTCTGTGAGGTTCTGGTGACCTACCCGGACGAGCCTGCCCATTCGTGCAACAGCCGAGGCTGCTGCGTGGCTCTACCACAGTAACACATGTTATGCCGACCACCTTTGGTGGGATAAAGGAATAAGGATTATCATGTTTTCTTGAAAATTCACTCCTTGTCCCGAAAGATCTGTACATGATAGTTAATTGTTACGCCAAAGCCGTGATAGCTCAGTGTCCGGGCGCTCGCCTTTAATTCAATATACTCGAGCAACCTGAGTTCGATCCCCGGTGCCGGCACCAATGAAGTTTTTAATTTCAAGTGCTGAATTATCACGTGCTCAGCGGTGAAGGGAAATATCGTGAGGAAACCTGCATATTCTCGAAAAAATAAGGAAAAAAAATTTTTCGAAGATATGCGAAGTGCGCCAATCCGCAGTGGGGCCGCGTGGTGGACTATGCCCTGATACCCTCTGTACAGAGGAGGCCTTTGCCCAGCAGTGGGACATGTATAGGCTGTTATTGTACTTTATAACCGACTTCAAAAAAGGAGAAGGTTTCTCAATTCGTATATTTTTATTTTTTTTATGTGTGTTCGCGGATAACTTCTTCGTTTATGAGCCGATTTTGATGATTCATTTCGTGATTTCCGTGGGACATTTATAGGCTGTTACTACGCATTAACGCCCGGTTTTCGAAACACTGGTCATCGTAGATATCAACTAATCAGCTGTCTTCCGAATTGACCAGAATGACTCCATTAATGATCAGAATGATCAATTCATAGAGTTTAACCATCCACTCGGCATCAAATGACATTTGAGAAACCATTTGACAACTGATTAGTTAACATCTACGATAATCAGAGTCTCAGAAACCGGGCGTAAGTGTTACAAGTACCTAAAATAAAATAAACCATTCCCATTTTATTTCCACAGTTTCGAATGTCAAACATAATAGTCTGTAGTTGAAAGTCGTAGAGATTGTCGTCAAAGAGTTCTGAAATATACTAACTGAAGGAATTTACAAAAACGTTTTGTTTTTCTCTAAGTGCCGTCGAATTTTCTCCAGTTTTATAGATGTTATATTAAAATTTGTAGAATTATCGAAAAGTTTTTCGCCGCTGTGTGAATCGAACCGACGTCTTCGGCATTCGCGCCCTGACGCTTTAGCCAATAAGCTAAACGGCCGATTGCCAAACCGACGTAAATCTCAGCGTTTTTATCTAAATTGTGTTTTGGCGTCTGAAGCAATGCGTATGCGCATACATTGCTATTTCGCGATGGCATCGAATATTGTTATTTAAATTTTTATAGACGTCTGTGAAAAGTTAGTGATAAATATTTATTTTGTTGTGTTTTATTACAATCTTCGTTTAAATCTCTCTTCCAGAATCACAGAACGCCTCGAATAGTACTAACACGGATACGCCGATAGCAGGTTTTTTTTTAATTTATTTTTTTATTTGTATCGTCAAGTTTTTGTATATTTTATCACAATGCAAGGTTTCTTTGTCTTTGTCATCTGTGTTTTTGTCTTCCATTTTGTTGTTTGATCTGTTCTTTTTTCGTCTATGCTCTTTTGTCCATTTTCCATTTTTTTTTCGTTTATGTCCTCGATTTGTTTTTCTTTGTTGCCAATGTTGTCTTTTACGTGACATCGTCATTTTTTTTCACGCAATTTTTATCTGGGTCGCCAGTGTTTTTTATTTGATTAATTTTTTAATGTATCAAGCGTTCGTTTGTTGCTTTCGTATACTTTTTTTTCATATCCTCACTGCTCGTTTCACTCCGCGCTTCTTCGGTAGTTTCGTCTGTTATCGACGACCCGAATGGCTTAGTGAGTAATGTACCTGCCTTCTGCGCCGGTGGGTGTGGGTTCGATCCCCACTACTGGAAAAATATAATGCGATGTACATAGTATTTTTCTAGTGTCTGGGTGTTTACATGTCTATAATATGTATTTATTTACAAAAGAAATGTATGTTTAAGTATGTTTATCAGTTATCTAGTACACAGTACAAGTGTTGCTTTGTTTGGGACTAGTGAACATCGTGTAAAAATGTGTCCCAAAATATTTATCACTTTTGCTTTTCTTGGTCCGAGGGTTTGGTTTCCGAGGTTCGGATTTGCCATGGGGAGACGAACAATACGTATCGAAATAACAGTTAACAAGTAGAATATAATTTAAAAAACTAAAAAAACCCCGACTGCGTATCTGTGTAATTCTTTATTTTGATGTACCCAGTGTAACTCTCACTGTAAATATGAATCTAACGACACCTCTCAAGCTAAAATCCATCAAGCCATTCAAGCTGCAGAGCGTGCCAAACAATTAAACATACATACATACATACATTTACTCGAATAAAACCGTTTAAAAACTTAACGGTAAAGTTAAACGGTTTTATTTTATGTGCACTGAAAACTACAATACTGTATTGTCATCTAAATTAAATGTGTGTACCAAATTTCAGATCTATCTGACAACGGGAAGGTGCTTTAATTTCAATTTCTAATTTTGACCCAAATAAACAAATAAATTCCGTACGGGTCGAGCTAAATAAAACCGTTTAAAAACATAACCCTCCTTCTGCCGCAGTCGGGTAAAAACGAGGCGTATGGTATATATATATACAGAGTGTCGTTACAACCTCGACAATAAATGAATACACGTCTAACGCTACTTGCCAATAATCATGAAAAGATATAAAACGTTAAAAAAATCCATAATTAAAAAAATACATTTTTCAAACAAACTAATTAAATAAAAAAGAATCAAAATTTGTAACATCCTATACAACTGACTGATTCATACATTCAGAGACTTTTTCATTCGCTGTCACAACATCGCATTATAAGTCTCTCCTTCTAAGCGTATGTTTTATCTCTTTTAAATTCATTCAGCCCATTCATATACTTTGTGACATTTACAAATGAACTTTAAGTTACCGGTTTAAACGTAAGGGTGTCCTAAAAATGTTTGTTTTATAAAATTTAATAACTCGGTAAATATTGATGTTTAAAGAATGTGAATGCTTAATACGATTTTAAAAAGTTATCCTCTATATGTGTGTTCATTTATTGTCGCGGTTGTAACGACACGCTGTATAACAACCGGTCAGCGTTAAACTTCTCGCGGAATATTGCGTCTGCGTTTTTTTTATATTAGAAGGTGGCAAACGAGCTGGCGGTTCACGAGATGTTAAGTGATAACCGCCGTCCATGAACATCTGCAACACCGGTAGTGTTGCAAATGTTCACTACCGGTGTTGCAGATGCGTTGCCACCTTTTAATGAAGTGGACGATACGAAACGCAGAAGTATAACACTTACAGTTCACTCCGGTCTTCTGCGAGGACGGACCTGCCCATTCGTGCAACAGCGAGGACATGAAACAAAAGGTGTTTCATGTTTCCGTTATGCCACGTGGTTTTTGCAAACCGCTGCCACCCCTGGTGGCAGGGCTCCACAAGGGGTATGTCTCCTGTTAAAAAAGGGTTAATCCACTAAAAAAGTGGAGGTTATAAACAGTTCTGTATCACATTGTCCGATATCAATACCACTCATTATTACGAAGGTGTACCTCAGGGTACTCAAATACTGGCTACAATCAGATGCTGCAACTGACGATAATTAAATTTGCAAGCGAATTTTTTCCTTGTGGGGAAGCGATCTTTCCAGTTGTACGACCCATTTAGCGTAGTGGATGTGATCCTGTCTGTTGCGCTAGAGGCTTATTTCCCAGTAGTGGGGATCGAACCCAAAATATAATGCGATATACATAGTATTTTTCTAGTGTCTGAAATGTATTTGTTTACTAAAGAAAATTTCGTTTAAGTATGTTTATCAGTTAAATAATATTACGGTAGGGCCACGCAGCAGCCTCGGCTGTTGCACGAATGGGCAGGCCCGTCCGGGTAAGTACCACGACCTCACAGAAGACCGGCGTAAAGTGGAAGTATGACAAAATCTTTCACGTTTCGTCTAAAGTGAGGTAGCCGGAGCCCAATTTTCAAAAGGTTGTCAACGCATCTGTAACCCTCGGGTGTGGCAGATGTCCATGGGCGGCGGTATTCACTTAACATCAGGTGACCCGTCTGCTCGTTTGGCAACTTTTCGCATAAAAAAAAAATAGTACAAGTTTCGCTTGGTTTGGGACTAGATAACGTTGTGTTGAAATGTCCCCGAAATATTTCTTATTTAATTTTAACGTAGCGTTTTATCGAGTTCGTTTTTGGAATTGATTTCAATGAAAGACCAGCTATCTGAGATTCCTGGTAGTAATTCGCAATTGTTATTCCATATCAACAGATAGCGGCTGTCGACAGCGGATGCGGTATCTCCGTCGTAGATAAAATTAAAAAATTATTGGCCTTAAGCCGATAATCATCCGTATCGATATGCCGCGCAACGCAACCCAATTGGCGTGGGGAGTAGGGACCCTGCCTCCTGCGCCAGAGGGTGTGGGTTCGATCCCCAATACTGGAAAAATATTGTGTGATGAACATCGTGTTTTTCCAGTGTCTGGGTGTTTATATATTTGTAATATGTATTTATTTACAAAAGAAAAGTATGTTTAAGTAGGTTTATCAGTTTTCTAGTACCCATAGTACAAGCGTTGCTTAGTTTGGGACTAGAGAATGTTGTGTCAGAAATGTGTCCGAATTATTTAAAAAAAAAAAAAAACAGTTCACTGTTGCACGAATGGGCAGGTCCTCACAGAAGACCACGTGACGTGGAGGTGTTATAATACTTCTGCGTTTCGTCCGGTGAGTGAGGTGGCCGGGGCCCACTTTATTTAAAGGTGGCAACGCATTAGCAACCCCGGTGTTGCGGTTATCACTTAGCATCAGGTGAACTGCCAGCTCGCTAGCCACCTTCTAGCAAAGGCGCGGTACTCACCCGGACCTGCCCATTCCCAACTTAAAACTTTTGGTAAATAAATGGATTTTCTTTCTTTCTTTCTTTCTAAGACAAGTCCATTTTGAACCGGCTTCAATAAAGGAGGGGTTCTCAATTCGACTGTATTTTTTTTATGTTTGTCACCTCATAACTTTCGACTGGGTGGACCGGATTTTGATGATTATTTATTTAAATGAAAGCTGCTGCTTCCCATGTGGTCTAAAAAAAATAAAAAAAATGTTTTGTCATCGAAAAACAAAACCGACATCTCGCTCTGAATTCGTTTTATAATTGATTTTAGGGAATTCCTTAAGTATCTCCGGAGCCAAATATCCAATACCAATGAAATTAATATGGGACCACATGGGTAGTATTGCGGGTCCATTCAGTAATATTTGCGTGAAAGAGTAACAAACATCCATTCGTACATACAAACTCTCGCGTTTATAATATTAGTAAGGATGCAAAAATTAAGATGCAATAAAAGAGAGACTCAAATATTAACAATTATGACTTTAACTAGTAAGAGGCACATTAACAATTATTCTTATTTTAGCCTGCGCGTGTATAAACAGAATTAACTCGACACGGTCGCGTCGTCGAGATATTCGGTCACCGCAAAACGATACACCACACGCGAACACGGCGGCCATGTCGAGTTTACGGTTGTTTTTTTATGCGAGCCTCGATTTTACAGTTACCGGCGAATTTGGATTTCGACCGGTCCCCCTTGCTGCATTTCGCAGAGCCGTTTTCGACCATATATCAACGCTTTTCGACATTGTTCGCCTATACAGGGTGATTTTTTTAGACGAAGTAGGTACGTACTTTGACATAATGTCGATTGAGCATTCCATAATACAAAAAAATATTTATATTTTATTTTGATATGAAATAACCAACATTAAACAACAAGTAAGTTATCATCTCAAACATTGTTTGTTTATCCCGTTAAAAGTGGTCACCCTATTTATAAGCGGTTTAGTAATTATGCGTTCAGCGAGTTTTAGTGCATAGGTTATTGTATTGAGACGGTAAGGCAGGAATTTGTAAAGGGGTGTCCAAAAAGTTTGAAAATTAAAAATAATCTTTGCAAAAAAAATGAGGTCACCAGTACGTACCAGATTCAGATTTATAATCAAATTCTGCATACGCTCTGATAATATGCTCGTGGTCTATAAAACCACCCTGCATACTACCGAGCGAGGCAATCATTCCGCTATCGGTACTGGTAACGTATGAAAAACGTGCTGAAATGTCCGTTTTGTTAGTGAAGACTCCTTTAGGTGCGTTTTGCACTTATTGGTCGAACAACAAGTATAATTTTTAACAAAAAAAACGACTTCAATCAGAATATTAAAAACATTGTTAATACCTATAACATTCAATGATGGCCCTCGATTTCTCTGGAATGCCATCATCAGATCCGGGTTTCCTTACCATGGTACCACCCTTGGGATATCTCCTTTCCGACAAAAAAAGAATCATCAAAATCGGCTCATAAACGAAGAAGTTATCCGCGAACACACATAAAAA